AAAAAAAAAAAAAAAAAAGAAGAGCCTGGAGCAGATCATGCTTTTGAACCTGGGGTTCATGTGCTGAGAACCTCCTAAAAGGGCTATCATCTGGGTCCGGAGCTCTGCCACTGAAGATGGTATAAGGTGGAGAGCTGAGCACTCTCAAGCAGGTGGCTTGCTGAGCTCCCCTGTGTTTGTGTGTTGGGGTGGGGTGGGGTGGGGGCGGGGTCAGGGGTCCCTGAAGAGCTACAGCACTTGCCTGAGCAGAGCCGAGAGGAGTCCTTGCAGCAGGCTGTATTGGTTGGAAGCTGTCCTGCCTGTGCCTCTATTTCATCTGAAAAGTTTGGAGCATACTAGTCTCCATTTCATCCCCTGGGGACTCCGAGTGAGGAGCAAATGAGTGAATGTGCAGAACCTCTGGGGACTGTTTGCGGAAGAGCTGAAGTTGTGCCCAAGGCCAGCCCCTCCCCTTTTCAGACTCGGGTAGATGTGCCCCTGGGAAGGAACCAATCATGTTCATCACAGCAATTTTGTTTCCATCGGGGGCTCCCACATAGCTGAACCTTTCTCTTCTGATTTCTTTCTCTTTGGGGAGTTTTATTTTGTGACCCAAGGCCTTCAGTGCCAGGGAAGGGCCGGAACCTGGCGTATATGTGAACTCTGCCACTTCCCCAGCGGCTAGCCTCCTTCTGGTACACGGAGGGGGTGGTAAGCCAGCTAGGTGGGTTGGACTCAGAGCAAGTCAACAGACAACAGAAGGAAACCCTGCCTGGGCCTGCATCAGCCTCACAGTTGTTGCTGTTTGAGCCCACTGTTGACATCTGGTTTAAAAACAAAACAAAAACAAACCCAAACTCACTGCCCTCTCGTCCATTCCGACTCCCCGGTGGGTTTCCGAGTCGAGAAATCATTAAGGGAGTAGTAGAGGGTCTCCTCTTTCTCCCACAGATGTTTTTCAAACCGCAGCCCTTACAGTTAGCTGTCCAGGGGCTCCCATTGTCACGGAGGTGCTCAGGAACTGGTGGGCCACTGCTGTCCCTA